GAGGATACGTATGTGACAAACAAGTAAGATTATATAATATGTATCTTATAGTAATTAGATATAGATATAGCTGGGATACACACACACGTTATATATATATACGCGCGCGCGCGTTTGTGTATAATGTATGTATTATATATAATATATATATATATTATATATATAATATATGTATATGTATGTATGTATATGTATATAACCCACATCTGTGTGTACAGAATGTACATTTAAGCATAAATGTGATTGCATAATCATTGTAATCAAAATGTAATATAATAATATATATTATTATATTATTTATTTATTTATTTATTTATCGGTCTACATATACATCAACATAAACCTGTACATATGCATATGAATAAATACACACACACACATGTGTGTATATGTGATATATATATATATATATATATATATATATATATATATGTGTGTATGTATGTATGTATGTCTATATGTAATTATCTATCTTTACCGGGCACACATCTTAATTACCTCATATACATACATGTATTTAAGTGATCATATATGGTCACTTGCCCGGTAAAGGGTTAAACAAACATGAAAAAGATTCCTCATGTTTCCTTGAGTTCCGCTAAATGAAAGTAGACGATTTTGTTATATTTTAATCGAACGGTTGTATTTTATATTAGTATGTCAGTATCAATAGTACCGACAATTACTATCATATTTCCTCGATCGCTCCATACATGAAACAAAACACGATGTTCAGAAGATCGATAAACAAACAAATCGCACGTATATATTTATCATCTTCGATCGGTTGTCATGACTATATCGCAAATCATGACAGGAAATAAATCCTAATTACCGAATTATTAAACATGACAGGAAATTATTCCCATGACAGCTGGCCAGACCGACGTCCAATCAGAGACCGAAATGTTGCCGTCTTAGCCAGCCTCTCTGCACTCCGCGTCCTCTCTCTCTCTCTCTCTCTCTCTCTCTCTTCTTCTCTCTCTCTTCTCTCTTTCTCTCTCTCTCTCTTTCTCTCTTTTCTCTCTCTCTCTCTCTCTCTCTCTCTCTCTCTCTCTCTCTCTCTCTCTCTCCTCTCGCTCTTCCTCTCCCTCTCCCTCTCTCTCTCTCCTCTCCTCTCCCTCTCCCTCTCCTCTCTTCTCCCTCTCCCTTCCCTCTCTCCCTCCCCCTCTCTCTCTCCTCCCTCCTCTCCCCTCTCTCTCCTCTCCCTCTCTCCCTCCCTCTCTCTCCCTGCACCCTCCCTCTCTCTCTCCCTTCTCCCTCCCTCTCCCTCTCCTCTCCTCTCCCTCTCCCTCTCTCTCCTTCCTTTGTATCCTCAAGACGTCATCCAAGGGACCTATCATTAGCTTGGAATTTGAGCTCCTAACTATGTAACGTGAAATTATCGCATTATGAACTAGATTTACGGCGGAGCTCTCGTAAATAGAGGCGGATAAATGAAGCGAAATACGACTTTTTTTCCGTTCCTGCAACAGGTGAAGGCGGTGAGATCTCGTGACGCAGCGGTGGTGAACCTCCCACCGCCAGGCTGACCTGACGAAGGTGGCGTGGATTTTTTTTTTTTTCTCTTTTTTCTTTCTTTTTTTTCTTTTTTTTTTTCTTTTTTTCTCTTTTTTCTTTTATCTGTATTTTCGTCGTTTAGTTTATGATTGCTGGCGATTCTTTTTTTTTGTGCTGCGTTTATTTTTCTTCCAAGGTGCACGGCGGGTTGTAAAGAAAGGTAACACACTAATTTTGTCTTTACTTTTTTTCTTTTTTTTGCACTTATATTAGAGCGAAAAGTTTATCCCTTTAGGACCATAAGGTTTGGCCGTAAGATTTATCTCCCTTCGTCCGGGGATAAGACGTGATGCACAAACGCGAACGCAACGCAAAAAAAAACTGAACGAAACATGGCATGGGAAGCATTAATCTGAATTATATGCAAATTGGAAGACAAATGATATGTCGTAATTAACGAAATAGCGAGGCCAATTAATGGCGTCGTAAATAACTCTCGTTCTTCATGTGTAGCAGATGGTGCAGGTGTGCGCATGCGCTGTTTGGAAACTGCCTGACGCCTCAGACGCAAACGAGGGTAACAAAATGCTATGTTTACTCAAGGCCGCGCTCGATTTTATTGCGTTTAATCTCGCTTTGATCGGAATGAAATAGCCGTTCTTATGAGGTCTTGAACGAGCCACCCTAAATAGGTAGCTTCTAATCGGCGAATCTCGTCAATTGAGATAACAGGGATGTCTTGCCAATTACGTCATCACTTTAACTGTTGCTGATAAAATTGGAACTGTTTCAGCATTTATCGTAATGATATGCATCAGTAATGAGGGCAGCGATATCACTCATGTTTTTTTATTGCCACTTTTGTTTTACATATCGGTATTGTTATTATCATATCATTTCTGTTATTAGCGATTGTTATCATTTATGTTACTGGTGTTAGTATAAGATCGCTATCTTTGCTTTTATCTGCTAATGTGTTGTTGCCATCAATACTATGATTACAATATTCATTACGAGTATTGTCGTTTTATTGTTCTTATTGTTGGTGTTATTGCTATTCTTGTTGTTCTTGAGTTTCATTATCAATATTACAGTTAGTATTGATATTACTATTAGTATTGATATTAATAGTAGTAGTACTAATAGTAGCACTTGTAGTTCAATTTGCATAGGTATTTTAGTTATCATCATTACTGTCATTTTAATTATCAACAATTAATATATACTAATATATATATATGTATATAATATATAGTAATATATATATGTAATGTGTAATTATATATATA